CTGTCCCCTCCTGTCCCCCATATCCAATTATCCCTCCGTTCTCCCCGTTCCGGGCTCTCCCCCTGGATCCAGCTCCTTTCCCAGCCTCCCAGGATTCCCGTGCTTCCCAACCTTTTTCCAGGTACTCCTCCTGTCCCCTCCTGTGCCCTGGGTCCCCTCCTGTGCCCTGGGTCCCCTCCTGTGCCCTGGGTCCCCTCCTGTCCCCTGGGTCCCCTGGGTCCCCTCCTGTCCCCCCATATCCCCCGTATCCATTTATCCCCCCGTTCTCCCCGTTCCGGGCTCTCCCCCTGGATCCAGCTCCTTTCCCAGCCTCCCGGGCTTCCCGTGCTTCCCAACCTTTTTCCAGGTGCTCCTCCAGGCCCCTCCTGTCCCCTGGGTCCCCTCCTGTTCCCTGGGTCCCCTCCTGTCCCCCCCATGTCCCCTCCTGTCCCCCATATCCATTTATCCCCCCCTTCTCCCCGTTCCAGACTCTCTCCCCCTGGTTCCAGCCCCTCTTCCCACTCCACGCTTCCCAACCTTTTTCCAGGTACTCCTCCAGGTCCCTCCTGTCCCCTGGGTCCCCTCCTGTCCCCTGGGTCACCTCCTGTCCCCCCATATCCCCCCTATCCATTTATCCCCCCGTTCTCCCCGTTCCGGGCTCTTTTCCCCTGGATCCAGCTCCTTTCCCAGCCTCCCAGGATTCCCGTGCTTCCCAACCTTTTTCCAGGTACTCCTCCAGGTCCCTCCTGTCCCGTGGGTCCCCTCCTGTCCCCAGTATCCCAGTTTATCCCCCCGTTCTCCCCGTTCCGGGCTCTCCCCCTGGCTCCAGCCCCTTTCCCAGCCTCCCGGGCTTCCCGTGCTTCCCAACCTTTTTCCAGGTACTCCTCCTGTCCCGTCCTGTCCCCTGGGTCCCCTCCTGTCCCCTGGGTCACCTCCTGTCCCCTGGGTCCCCTCCTGTCCCCTGGGTCCCCTGGGTCCCCTCCTGTCCCCCCATATCCCCCGTATCCCAGTTTATCCCCCCGTTCTCCCCGTTCCAGACTCTCTCCCCCTGGCTCCAGCCCCTCTTCCCACTCCAGCCATTCCCACGCTTCCCAACCTTTTTCCAGGTACTCCTCCAGGCCCCTCCTGCGAGCGTCCAGCTGCTGCTCGGACAGGGAGAAGGGCCACTTCCCGGGCAGCCTGGGGAAGGTGAAGTTGGCGAATTCCCGCTTGAGGTTCTGGTGCAGGATGGAGAATTCCCGGTAGCGCTTGGAGCAGAGCTGCCTGCCCGCCATGTACACGTTGTACACCTGGGAAACAGGGAGGGGGACGGATCAGGGAATGCTCTGGAATGCCACGGGGATGGTTGGGACCTGCTCGGCCCGCTGGGGAAACAGAGAAACGAGGAGGGGTTGGGAGAGAGGGAAAAATCGGGATGGGGGGGGGAATAAAGGGATTCAGGGAGATGGGGATGGCCCGGCTGCTCCCGATATCCCAGAGACTCCTGAGCCCCAAATCCCGGGATTCAGGGTCAGGGATCCTTCCCAGGAGACCCAGAGAGATCCCAAACTCCTCATGTCCCATCCAGAGCCCCAAATCCTGGGATTCAGGGTCATGGATCCTTCCCATCAGACACAGAGAGATCCCAAACTCCTCCTGTCCCATCCAAAACCCCAAATCCCGGGATTTAGGATCCCCAAATCCTGGGATTCAGGGTCATGGATCCTTCCCATCAGACACAGAGAGATCCCAAACTCCTCCTGTCCCATCCAAAACCCCAAATCCCGGGATTTAGGATCCCCAAATCCTGGGATTCAGGGTCATGGATCCTTCCCACCAGACACAGAGATCCCAAACTCCTCATCCTGCATCCAAAGCCCCAAATCTTGGGATTCAGGGTCATGGATCCTTCCCAGGAGACACAGAGAGATCCCAAACTCCTCATGTCCCATCCAAAGCCCCAAATCCTGGGATTTAAGATCCCCAAATCCTGGGATTCAGGGTCAGGGATCCTTCCCAGGAGACACAGAGATCCCAAACTCCTCATGTCCCATCCAGAGCCCCAAATCCTGGGATTCAGGGTCAGGGATCCTTCCCAGGAGACACAGAGAGATCCCAAACTCCTCCTTTTGGATCCAAAGCCCCAAATCCTGGGATTCAGGGTCAGGGATCCTTCCCCCAAGACACAGAGAGATCCCAAACTCCTCATGTCCCATCCAAAGCCCCAAATCCTGGGATTTAGGATCCCCAAATCCTGGGATTCAGGGTCAGGGATCCTTCCCATCAGACACACAGAGATCCCAAACTCCTCATGTCCCATCCAAAGCCCCAAATCCTGGGATTCAGGGTCAGGGATCCTTCCCACCAGACACAGAGAGATCCCAAACTCCTCATGTCCCATCCAGAGCCCCAAATCCTGGGATTCAGGGTCAGGGATCCTTCCCATCAGACACAGAGAGATCCCAAACTCCTCATGTCCCATCCAAAGCCCCAAATCCTGGGATTTAGGATCCCCAAATCCTGGGATTCAGGGTCAGGGATCCTTCCCAGGAGACACAGAGAGATCCCAAAAGGAAAAACTGGGATTGAGAGTTAAATAAATGGATCCCAGGAGATGGGGGATGGTCCAATATCCAGGAGTATCCTGAGCCCCAAATCCTGGGATTGGGGGTCATGGATCCTTCCCAGGAGACACAGAGAGATCCCAAACTCCTCATGTCCCATCCAGAGCCCCAAATCCTGGGATTCAGGATCATGGATCCTTCCCAGGAGACCCAGAGAGATCCCAAACTCCTCCTTTTGCATCCAAAGCCCAAAATTTTGGGATTTAGGATCCCCAAATCCTGGGATTTAGGATGATGGATCCTTCCCATCAGACACAGAGAGATCCCAAACTCCTCATGTCCCATCCAAAGCCCCAAATCCTGGGATTCAGGATCCCCAAATCCTGGGATTCAGGGTCAGGGATCCTTCCCACCAGACACAGAGAGATCCCAAACTCCTCCTGTCGCATCCAAAGCCCCAAAAATTGGGATCCAGGCTCAAAAATCTTGGGCTCCAGCCCCACAGACCCTTCCCCCCCGGAGGCCCGAGCCCCCCATTCCGGGCAGATCCCTCTGACCCCACCCCCCCCCCCCCTTTCCCGGGCGGAAAAGGCCCGGAACGGCGCCGGGGACCCTCACCACGAACTTCTCGCCGTTCTGCTCGACGTGTTTGTAGGTGGGGATGGAGATGGGCACCGCCTGCTTCTCCGTGTAGTCGTAGAAGGACTGGCCCAGCGAGTCGTCGCCGGGGTCCAGGCTCTCGGCCTCGTGCGGCGGCACCGACAGCACCGTCAGGATCAGCTCCTTCTCCCCGGCCCGGATCAGGTCCACCACCTGCTTGTGGGTGGCCCCTTCCACGTTCACCCCATTCCTGAGGGCAAACAGCACCATTAGAATGTTTAAAATATTTTTAGGATATTTAAGATATCTTTAGGGTATTTACGGTATTTAGGATATTTACGGTATTTAGGATATTTACGGTATTTAAGATTTTTTAGGATATTTACGGTATTTAGGATATTTACGGTATTTAGGATATTTACGGTATTTAAGATTTTTTTAGGATATTTACGGTATTTAAGATTTTTTTTATGATATTTACGGTATTTAGGATATTTACGGTATTTAGGATATTTACGGTATTTAAGATTTTTTTTAGGATATTTACGGTATTTAGGATATTTACAGTATTTTTTTATATTTACAGTATTTAGAATATTTAGGATACTTAAAATATTTTTAGGATATATACAGTATTTAGGATATTTATGGTATTTAAAATAGTTAAGATATTTAAGTTATTTTTAGGATATTTACGGTATTTAGGATATTTACAGGTTTTTTTGATATGGTATTTACAGTATTTAGGATATTTAAGGTATTTAAGACATCTTTAGGATTTTTTTAGGATATTTACGGTATTTAGGATATTTAAGATATCTTTGGGATATTTAAGCTATTTAGGATATTTAAAATATTTTTAAGATATTTAGAATATGTAAGATATTTTTAGGCTATTTAAACTATTTAGGATACTTCAAATCTTTTAAAGATATTTTAAGATATTTAGGATCAGGATCAGCTCCTTCTCCCCGGCCCGGATCAGGTCCACCACCTGCTTGTGGGTGGCCCCTTCCACGTTCACCCCATTCCTGAGGGCAAGGAGGATCATTAGGATGGCTAAAATATTTTTAGGATATTTAAAATATCTTTAGGATATTTACAGAATTTAGAATATTTACGGTACTTAGGATATTTACGGTACTTATTGATTTTTACGGTGTTTTTGGATATTTACGGTATTTAGCATATCTAAAAAATTCACAATATCTTTAGGATATTTTTAGGATACTTAAGCTATTTAAGACATTTTAAATATTTTTAAGGTATTTAAGATATTTAGGATATGTGAGATGTTTAAGATATCCTTAGGATATTTATGGTATCTAGGACATTTAAGAAACTTAAGATATTTTTAGGATATTTCACCTAATTAAGATATTTTAAATACTTTTAAGATATTTAGGATATGTAAGATGTTTAAATATTCTTAAGAAGTTTAGGGTATTTATGGTATTTAGGATATTTATGGTATTTAGAATATTTAAAGACTTTAGGATATTTCTAGGATATTTTTGGAATATTTAAGCTATTTTGGATATTTCAAATATTTTTAAGGTAATTAGGATCAGGATCAGCTCCTTCTCCCCGGCCCGGGTCAGGTCCACCACCTGCTTGTGGGTGGCCCCTTCCACGTTCACCCCGTTCCTGAGGGCAAACGGCATCATTAGGAGGTTTAAAATATCTTTAGTGTATTTAAGATATTTAAAATATTTAAAATATTTTTAACATATTTACGGTATTTCGGATATTTACGGTATTTAGGATATTTCAGGATACTTTTAGGATATTTATGGTATTTAGGATCTTTACGGTATTTAGGATATTTCAGGATAATTTTAGGATCTTTACGGTATTTAGGGTATTTACGGTATTTAGGATATTTCAGGATACTTTTAGGATCTTTACGGTATTTAGGATATTTCAGGATACTTTTAGGATCTTTACGGTATTTAGGATCTTTACGGTATTTAGGATATTTCAGGATACTTTTAGGATCTTTACGGTATTTAGGGTATTTACGGTATTTAGGATATTTCAGGATACTTTTAGGATCTTTACGGTATTTAGGATATTTCAGGATACTTTTAGGATATTTACGGTATTTAGGATCTTTACGGTATTTAGGATATTTCAGGATACTTTTAGGATATTTACGGTATTTAGGATCTTTACGGTATTTAGGATATTTCAGGATACTTTTAGGATCTTTACGGTATTTAGGATCTTTACGGTATTTAGGATATTTCAGGATACTTTTAGGATCTTTATGGTATTTAGGGTATTTACGGTACTTAGGATATTTCAGGATACTTCTAGGATCTTTACGGTATTAGGATATTTACGGTATTTAGGATACTTTTAGAATACTTTTACAATATTTTTAGAATATTTTAAGACATTTTTGGGATACTTTTAGGATCTTTACGGTATTTAGGATATTTGCACTGTTTAGGATACTTACGGTACTTAGGATATTTAGGTTACTTTTAGGATACTTTTAGGACATTACAGCTAATTAGGATATTTCAAATACTTTTAGGACACCTAAAATATATTTAGGATATATTTAGGATTTACGAGAATTTTTCTTAGGAAATGTAGGATATTTACGGTATTTAGGATATTTACGGTATTTGGGATCTTGGCCCGGGAAAACAGGGATACAGCGGGGCTGGAATGCAGGGATACAGGGATGCTGGAATACAGGGACACAGGGATATTGGGATACAGGGATAGTGGAATACAGGGACACAGGGATATTGGGATATCGGAATACAGGGATAGTGGAATACAGGGATACAGGGATATTGGGATATTGGGATACAGGGATGCTGGAATACAGGGACACAGGGATATTGGGATATTGGGATACAGGGATGTTGGAATACAGGGACACAGGGATATTGGGATATCGGAATACAGGGATATTGGAATACAGGGATACAGGGATATTGGGATATTGGGATACAGGGATAGTGGAATACAGGGACACAGGGATATTGGAATACAGGGATACAGGGATATTGGAATACAGGGATACAGGGATATTGGGATACAGGGATATTGGAATATTGGAATATAGGAATACAGGGATAGTGGAATGCAGGGATAGTGGAATATTGGAATCTAGGAATACAGGGATACAGGGATATTGGAAATCCAGGAGTACTGGAATACCAGAATACATGGATATTGGAATACAGGGATAGTGGAATACAGGGATACAGGAATATTGGGAATATTGGAATACAGGAACACAGGAATGTTGGAATACAAGAACACAGGGATATTGGGAATACAGGGATATAGCATACTGGAATACAGGGATACAGGGGTATTGGAATACAGGGATATTGGAATACAGGGATACAGGAATACAGGGATATTGGAATACAGGGATACAGGGATACTGGAATACAGGGATAATGGAATACAGGAATACTGGAATACAGGAATACTGGAATACAGGAATACAGGGATACAGGGATATTGGAATACAGGGATACTGGAATACAGGGATAGTGGAATACAGGGATAGTGGAATACAGGGATAGTGGAATACAGGGATAGTGGAATACAGGGATAGTGGAATACAGGGATAGTGGAATACAGGGATATTGGGATACAGGGATAGTGGAATACAGGGATACAGGAATACAAGAATACAGAGATATTGGGAATACAGGGATACAGGGATATTGGGATTACAGGGATACAGGAATACTGAAATACAGGGATACAGGAATATTGGGATACAGGGATACTGGGACATTGGAAATCCAGGAGTACAGGGATATTGGAATGTAGGGCTATTGGAATACTGAAATATTGGAATACAGGGATACTGGAATACAGGGATACAGGGATATTGGAACACAGGGATACAGGTTACTGGAATACAGGGATATTGGAATATTGGAATACAGGGATACAGGGATATTGGAACACAGGGATACAGGATACTGGAATACAGGGATACAGGGACATTGGAATACAGGGATACAGGATACTGGAATACAGGGATACAGGGATATTGGAATACAGGGATACAGGAATACAGGGATACAGGAATATCAGAATATTGGAATACAGGAACACAGGGATACGGGAATATTGGAATACAGGGATATAGAAATACGGGAATACAGGGATATTGGGAATGCAGGAATGCTGGGACACTGGAATGCAGGGCTGCTGGAACACTGAAATATTGGAATACAAGGATATTGGGATACAGGGATACAGGAATACAGGGATACAGGAATATTGGAATACAGGGATATTGGAAATGCAGGAATGCTGGGACACTGGAATGCAGGGCTGCTGGAACACTGAACCCTGGGAATGCAGGAATTTGGGAATCCTGGAAGGCCGGGGAGAGCCCAGGGGACAGAGCAGAGCCAGAGAATTCCATGGATTCTCCCAGGGAATCCATGGAAAAAAAACCCCAAATTCCCCCAGAATTCCATCCCAGAATTCCATCCCAGAATTCCATCCCAGAATTCCATCCCAGAATTCCATACCCAGAATTCCATCCCCTTCTCCGAGGAGTTGGGAATTTGGGTCGGCTGGGAAAGAGCCAAATCCCGGGATTTGGGAGCCCAGGCAGCTCCTGGGACTCCCAAACATTCCTGCTGCTGGGAAATCCCGGGAATTAGGGCCGGGAACGGGGGCTCTGCCCACCTGGCACGGAGGGAAAACCGGGAAAGGATCCGGAGGGATCCTGAAAAATCCACCCCAGAAAGGGAAAACCTCCCCGGGAGGGGCCTCGGGGGGGAATTTGGGAATTTTATCCCTAAAAATGCTCCTCTGACTTCCCCAGGAGGGTCCTTATGCTGGAATTTGGGAATTTTATCCCTAAAATTTCCTCCCCTGAGGTCTCCATGCTGGAATTTGGGAATTTTATCCCTAAAAACGCCCCCCCTGCCCTTCCCAGGAGGGTCCTTACGTTGGAATTTGGGAATTTTATCCCTAAAATTTCCTCCCTGACTTCCCCAGGAGGGTCCTCGTGTTGGAATTTGGGAATTTTATCCCTAAAATTTCCCCCCCTGAGGTCTCCATGCTGGAATTTGGGAATTTTATCCCTAAAAATTCCCCCTCCCCCCCAAATCAAGGATCCCGAAATCTCCCCTGGGGACCCCCAAAAACCTCCCAAAAGGGGGGGACACACACACAAAACAACCCCCCCAACCCCCCCCCAAAGCCAGAGGAGCCCCCCAGTGAGACCCCCCCTCCTCAGGACCCCCCCAAAATTCCCAGTGAGGGGTGGGGGGCTCAGTTTGGGCTCTG